TGATACTACCATTAAACATAGGCATCAAATTCCTAGACTATATGATCTGCTTGATGAATTGTTTAGTGCATGCTTATTTTCTAAAATTGATTTGAAAAGGGGTTATCACCAAATTAGAATAAGGGAAGGGGATGAATGGAAAAATGCTTTTTAAACAAAATTTAGATTGTATGACTGAATGGTTATGCCCCTTGGGTTAACTAATGCACCTAAAACTTTCATGAGACTAATGAACCATGTGTTAAGAGAATTTTTTGGTAAGATTGTTGTTGTGTATTTTGATGATATTTTGATTTATAAAAAGAACTTAGATGATCATTGCATTTATTTAAGGGTTGTTTTCCAAGTGCTAAGATAAGAAAACTTGTATGTCAACCTAGAAAAATGTATCCTTTGCACCAGTCATGTGATTTTCTTAGGTTTCACTATAAGCTTTAAAGGAGACCATGTTCATGAGTAAGAGATGAAAGACATTCGAGAGTGGTCTCCTCCCAAAAATGTAAGTGCAGTAAGAAGCTTTCATGATTTGCCTAGTTTACATTGGAGAACCAATACTTAAATGAAGTAATCTAAAGCATGATAGGTCCTATGACAAGGGAACGTGCTAGGAGAGTCAATGTTGCTCTAATACAATTTATGAACAAACTAATGAAAGCAAGAGACCAATTGAAAGGAAATAGGTCAAGACTTATCATTTTGGTCCAAGCTAATGAATAGGGCATGTCGTGTGGGCTTGTTGGCTTATTTTGATATTTTTAATCAATTATATTGTAATAAAATGGGTTAGGGTCCAACTTGTCAAATTTTGGCTCAAAACACTTGTTTTTTTTTGTAAGTGCAGTAAGAAGCTTTCATGATTTACCTAATTTACATTGGAGAACCAATACTTAAATGAAGTAATCTAAAGCATGATAGGTCCTATGACAAGGGAACGTGCTAGGAGAGTCAATGTTGATCTAATACAATTTATGAACAAACCAATGAAAGCAAGAGACCAATTGAAAGGAAATAGGTCAAGACTTATCATTTTGGTCCAAGCTAATGAATAGGGCATGTCGTGTGGGCTTGTTGGCTTATTTTGATATTTTTAATCAATTATATTGTAATAAAATGGGTTAGGGTCCAACTTGTCAAATTTTGTCTCAACACACTTGTTTTTTTTTTGTGTTTTAAATATTTTAAAGCTTTAAAATTTTGTGGCTTTTAAATTTCTAAGTTAGTAATAGGCTGGAAAAATGAATAGTTAAAGTTTTGAAGGAGTGAGAAAGAGAAAGGTGGGGTTGCATTAATTAAAATGGCCATAAATTTTTATTATTCATCAAGGCAATGAATATCCACAGTCTCCACCACATTTAGTGTGTGAACTTTCATTCTCAAGCCATTATTGATAAGTTAGTGAGCTAAAGTTGTAGAATTTTTTGAGTTATTATTATAAATTCAACAAGCTACCTTTTACCTATAAATAAGGAGCTAATCATGAATGAAAAATAAATTTGAATTTTGTTAAACAAATACATTGTGTGATTTTGAGAGCTTTGCTCATTTGGATTGGACCAAATTTTGATCTTATCAAAAACCCTAGTTTCCTGTGGTAATTTTTATTTAGGTTTATCATCCTTTCTAAATCATAGAAAGAGGTGTCGCCACATTTCTATCATTTCCATCGACTTCTTTTTATATTTTCTTTTAATTCAATTATGTCCCAATTCAATTTATTATTTTAAGTTTGTGTACTTACTATATCTTGTAATAATAGAATCACAAGTTTCATAAAAATAATATTATGATAAAAATGGTCGAATATCAAATTGGTTAGCCATCAACCATTATTTGAAGAAAAATTTTATAGAGACTAAAATAGAATTTTAGATTATTTATAGAGATCACATACATATTTAATCTAATTTATAAAAAGAAATTTAATGGACAAAAACTATATTAGAGAGTAATTATAAATTTAGTTAAGTATTGTTTAAAATATTCATCAAATCATATGAATACTACAAAATATCTATGTAAAAGTAGATAGTAAATGAATATCATCTTTAACACGTGTCAAATTTTCTCTTTATCTTGACAGTCATTTCTTTAATCACATCATCTTAAACACATATATCTATGTATATATAACCATTGCCAATAAAACAACAATTAAATAATATTTTTTCAAGAAATTTATTTGATCATAAACATCACACTAAAAAGTAACTATTATGCATTCTACTCATACAAGGATTTAAGGACATGCAACTATCTTTACACCAGATTAGTTAAAAACTAAGAATTCCATTCCACTCCTTTGAAGAAATTATACAAAAACAAAAACAGAAATCATCAAATCAGTGATGTTTCAACATGGAATCCTCAACCAACTCATACAATCACAAATAACATGTTTCAATACTAAACTTTTTGTCAGCTGCTGGAAAAGAGGTTAAAACATGTTCTTCTGTCAACTTAATCTCTACAAATCCCTCAAACTCAGTTATACAAAATCCATTTCCACTACCATTCAAAAGTATATTCACCAGTCACATTTTATCATGTTTCTTTACTCATTCATTTCGACGACGATGACATGGAACTATCTGACGCGAGATTACCTTGATTTTCGACATACGGTCGAATGAAAGTTCTGCGCCACCACACCTCAAAAGCCCTTTGAAGATTAGGACAGCTATCGCCGGTTTTCAAGAAAATTCCAACCCAAGAAAGCAAGATACTTTGTTGATCCTCCAAAGGCAAGGTGAGAATCGTTCTCCCAATTCCTTCCTCCACAAGTTTCCTGTCGAACGACCTGCATCCGTGTTGTAACCAATTGTAGTCGTTCATTAGCGGCTGCAGCCATGTCTGTAATAACATTTGTCGTGTGTCCTTTGACGGCAACAACTCCCCTCTACCAATGCCGACGTATAGTTTTCCAGATATGCAGCTGACGTGATAACGAGACACAATTGGTAGCGTCGCGTGTAAGACGGCTAATTCCTGCTGGTTTGCCCATAACAGTGCAAACTCATCGGCAGCTTGTTTGTCAATTAAAATATCAAGCAACCATGAAAGGTTGTCGGCTTCAAGAGCTATACGCTTGATTACAGAATCTCTTTCGTCACTTGGTTTGCCTGCAAAGGATGACTCTGCAGCTTGCTTGAAGAGAGACAATAATAAATCCAAACAGCTTCTGCAGGATGTATATATCATGTCGTTACAGATGTCGGTGGAACGTGCGTAACTTGGAAGACTGTTGTTCTCCCTAAGGAGTTTTAGAACTATGGATTTCATCTCTCGGCGACCTTTTTCCTCGTTGCTTTTGAGAACGAGTTTGATAATTTGGGAAAATGTGTCTTTCGGGACATTGGAAACGTCAGAAGAAACTCGTTTCAACACAGGGTTGACCCCAATTCCTTCCCCTTGGAGTTGTAGTACAGTTGAGACGACTTTTTCTTCTTCTTCATCTCCGACCCAAGGGACAGCCTCCAGGTACTCCAAGCATGATTGGATACATGAGCTGAAGCCAAGGAATTCTGCAACCTGAGGATATATTACATTTTAGGTTTTCGAAAGAACATTCAACATTTCTTCTCCCAAAGGCACCAATCAATTGTTTCTAATAATCACGAAAACAAAAATTTTCTGATCATAAAAGTTGCCTCAAAATTTTCACAAATTCGGCATGTCTAAGTGTCTAACACATGCCGGTGTCTAAGTGTCTAACACATGCCGGTGTCTAACATGCTAGACAACTCAGACAACTGTACCAAAACAAGATTTTCTTTTACTTCAGTACACTTTAGCTACTCGTGGGACACATCTACGGGAATTCATATGTCACGAATAGTACAAAATCATTCATATTTTCTAAATCCAAATTTGTATATACTCCATAACAAATGAATATGCAGTTGCTAGTGTCATTTGGTAATGTAAATGCAATCAAAACAGAATCATTAGAAGTAGTAGTTAATAGCTATGAGCAGAAAAACATGTATTATCATCAAACCATATATCAAGGAAACGGTATTGGAAATATTTATCATATAGAGCACAAAAGTTACCTTAAGAATTCGAAGAATGCGAGAAACATTCTGTTTCATGAGCCGCTGTTTCATTTCCTTGCAGTACATCAAACCAACGGCTTCAACATATATTTCAACATCCTCGCAATCTCCGATTTGTAGACAAGACAAATCCGATTGCTCCAAAATCTTTTCAGAAAAGAAACTACTCTTCTCTACCAGAACATCCCTATGCACACTCAACTTAACAGAAAAACCTTGTTTCCCTAATAAAACCACCTTCATATCACAAGTTCCCGGTTCACCAAACTCAATAGCTACCTTTCTAGGCATGGTTTCGATTTTCGGTCTAGAAGATAATCTCTCCGCAGCCAAAGAACTGCCAGCAGATGATGACCTTTCTGAACCACCACCACAATGTTGATCATCAGAAACCACCAATCTAGACGACGCAAGTACAGGTGCAGGTGCAGAACCTCTTCTCTCCGTCACTTGCACTGCCACCGGCTTTTTCTGAACACTAGCTTTCGGTTGCGGTTGCGGTGGAGACGAAGACGGTTTGGTCTTATTCAAAGGATTTTGAGGCTTATGACTTTTCTGAAACACAACAGGTGAAGGACAACACCAAAACCCTTCAGGGGTAACAGCTATAGGAACATTTTTAATCTTTGTTTGTCCTTGATCTACCCTATTAACCCTAATATCTCCCATGTTAACCAAAAAAGGTACAATTTTTAACAGACACAGAACAAATTTAGAACAAGATACTAAGATTGCATCAGTGAGAAAAAAGTTGGTGTTGAAAAACCAGAAATAACCAAACAAGTTCAAGTTTCTATGTAACAAACATTAATTGAACTAACTAAATAGTCAAGTCAAAAGGGTAAGAGAATATTTCGCCAAATTTAGTTCCACTATTTCGGGAAGTTGAATTCTTCTCTTGAACACAGTGATTTTCATTTTTCCCTCAAAAAAATCAACACTTTCTCAATCTCTGAAGCTGAATCTGCTTTTCCCCCAAATTGAATCACTGTAATAGATTCATAAAAAGTTCATGAAAACATCAGTAACATTAATTTCCATTAAATTTTCTCAAATCTCAAACCAGAATAGCAGAAAAATAAACAGAAATTAAACACAACCCTTAAGAAACTTTAAAAACGACCCTTTTGTTAACTACAGATCAGAAGCATATAGAAACTAAAAACATGATATATCAGATAAAAAACACAGAAAAATCCTTCCTTTTTCAAGAAACTAGCAACCCCATCAGAAAAAGATTAAAACTTTACCAATAAATGATGCTATGTGAGCATGAGCAACCTCTAGAACTCTTGTGAAACCCTCTTACAGTGTTGAAAATGATTGAAGAAGAGCATGAACAATGAGTGAATCCTTTGTTTAATTTGAAAAGTAGGGAAAAGAAAACACCACGAGACCCGAAAAAGCAAAAAGGGAATGGATGATGATAGCTCATGAACTGTGTTTTCTACTTTAACAGTTCCATGCTTTTGATGATTGTTTCCCTTTGTATCTTATGTGGGTCTCAGAAAATTTTCTAGTTTTGAATTGGACCACAGAATTACAACACTACAACATCATTTGTATTATTCTAGTATTTTTCTTTTCAAAGGTTATTGTTTTGTTTTGGGAACAAAAACAAAAGATAAAAAAAATGTTTTTTTTTTTTATTTTCTATTTATTTATTATCTTCTCTTGTTTTTGTTGTTGTTGTGGTTGTTAATGTTGTTTTAAGACACAACTCAGCACTCATAATAATAGTAAGTGACAGTAAGCATGCCTTGAAATTTATTCATTGATTGTTTTATTTTTTATCTATAAATGTTTTTGAGATTCTTTGTGTCTCTCAGTTGCTTTAGGAGACCGTTGTTGGATTTTCTAGGTTGGGAGTTATCATGATGTGGAGTAAAGATGAAGTATGCTATATTGTGCAATGACTAGTACACCCTCTAGTGAAGAAGGTCATGACTAGTACACCCTCATGTTAGTGTTCATACCAAAATTTGAGATAGATGTGGGAGGTTTTCGTTTTGATTGTTAATTATAGAAATATGTCTTAATCTTTAATAAAGTACTTTAGATGCGAATTACTTTAGATAATTACAGCATATGAAAGTCTTTTTTAGCTTAATTAAGAGTCTTAAAGTTGATTAGATGGGTTTTAATTCACTTTTAAAATACAATGTTAATTTTTTTTCTACTCATTGCACTATTATGAATTTTCTTGCAACTCGATAAAAAGTTAAAGGTTTAATATTCTTTTTCGTCTTTTATTTTTTGTGTAGGGTTCATTTTGGTCCTTTAATTTTAAAAAGGACCATTTTTATCACTCAGTTATTCAAACTGGTTCATGTTTATCCTTACCGTCCAAAACGTTAATCAAAGTCAATTGAGATGCAAAGGGGGCCCACATGTGTACTAGTTTATGATGACATGTAATACATATAAAGAGAATACTCAGATTTCTCATTTCTCTCACACTTCTCTGAAAGTTCTCTCAAACCTCACTCAATAGAACGACAAACACGACCATGATGAAGGAAGTGAACTGTTGAAGAACGAAGAAAGAACGAAGAAAGCACGAAGAAAATGGATTTCTGAAGAGAATACTAGTAATGTTCTTTTTAATCTTCGCCGAATTTTATTTTAGGGTCCATCTGGGTTTGCATTGCAGGGTTTGTCTTGGTTTTTCTGGGTTTACATTTTAGGGTTTGTTGGGTATTTCTGATTTTTGTCATGGATTTAGGGTTTTGTGTTCCTGATTCGAAATAATGTAATTTTTAGCTATATTGTGGATGAATATGTGCATGTAGTTATACACCATGAAGGTTTTGTCGAAGGTGATGATGAGTCAAGTTATGGGGGGTTATGTTGCTGAGGTGAAGTGTGATGTTGATAAGTGGAGTTATTTTTAGGTGTTAGGGATTGTTAAAGAATTGGGATATGAGGAATCTGGAACAAGGACCCAACAATTGATTTGTTTACTTTGAGTGATGATAAAGGTGCCCAAGAGATAGTTGATTTATGTAAGGTACATAAGAGTGTTCATTTATATGTGCAACATTCAATTTCTCAACCTGATTATTATGATGAACCTATAGAGGATGAGACTGAAAACATAGAAAAGGTTATAGTTAATATTGATGAAGAAAATGTCATTGGAAAACTGGTTGAAGAAGTTCTCATTGGTAAAGTAGATGGTGTAACTGACTTGAATAAGACTGAGGTTTGAGGCACAAATGTTGATGTTAATGGGGCTGAGGATATAATAATGTTGATATTAATGGGATTGGGGGTATGAGTGAGGGTGAGGTAGGAGATAATCATGTTGATGTTAATAGGGTTGAGGATATGATTTAGGGAGGTTAATGGTAACAGTCTTGATGTTAATGGGGTTAGGGATATGAGTGATAATGATGATGTGAGTTTCCAATATGAAAGTACCTTAGATGTTACCTTTCAAGACTCCGATAAAGACAATGATTGTTTAGTGGAAGAAGATACTACACATCTATTGGGTTATGACAAAGAGGCAGGAGATAAAGGCAAAAAACATAGTGAGGAATGCGAAGATGAGGTTGTCTGTGATAGTGAGGAATTGGAGGGTGAGTTTGAAACTGATGATGAAAGTAATTGTCATTGGAAGAAGTATCTTGTTTCAAAATTCCCAAGAACATGTCAGACTATAAATGGGAATTAGAAACCTAGTTTGCAACAAAGAATGATTTTAAGGAGGTCATTACTTCATATGCAGTCTAATTAGGAAGGGATTTGAGATTCTCTAAAAATGATAAACACAGGGTAAGAATGATATGAAAAGAAGGGTGTGATTGGAATGTATATTGTGGAAAGTTACCATATGAAGATTCTTTGCAATTGAGGAAATTGGTAGATAAGCATAACTGTAGTAGATCATATAATGTGAAGCTCATGACTACAAAGTGGTTAAGTAAAAGAATTCAAAACTCTTTGAAAGATAATCCAAAATTGGAAATCAGGGACATCAAGGAAAAAAACTTAAAGGAAATGGAATGTTGGTGTAAATAAGACTAAGGTTGTTAGGGCTAGCTGTACAGCAAGAGGATTGGTTGATGGTTCCTTGTTAGAATAAGATTTGGTTCTGCAAGATATCTCTAAGTTTTGATAATAACAAAGCGATATTTGTGTGAGAACAATTTTGGTACTCTAACGTTTGTTTTTCTGAAGAATTAACAAACAGGTTCTGGCTCTGACAGAGAAAGCTCTGACTTTGATAGAGATCATATTCAACGATTACTCTGATCTGACCAAAGTCCCTTTTGCACTATAAGAAGTAAGTTTGCTTCTGATCTACTCTCATTCAGAAAGATTCTAAGAAGACAATATGTTGATGCTGCAATGCTCTCTTGGTTTCTTCTTCTGATCATGACTTTGATACTTTACTTCTGAAGGCTTTCAAGCTTCTGAAGTCATTATCTTCTGAAGACTAAGTGCTGAAGACTCTGAAGACAAGGTTCTATTGAACGAAGTTCTAAAGACTCTGAAAACTTAAGTGTCTGAAGAATAAGTGTTGAAGACAAAGTTCTGCTGAACGACATTCTGAAGACTCTGAAGACTTAAGTTACTAGTGACCAAAGGTTCTGAAGACTGAGTTCTTATAGTTCTGAAGACAAGGTTCTAGTGAACAAGTTCTAAAGACTCTGAAGACTCAAGACTCTGAAGACTCAAGACTCTGAAGACCTACTGATCAACTCTTCTACTCATACTTTAATCATCTCTGTTCAGAAGTCTCTGATGTAAATAAGAGAAGCTCAAATGTTTACAAGGGAAAATAATACATAATACATTTTAATGTCTCATTCCACTAACCTGATTTGGTGGTACAAAGGACAACGTTTGTGTATAATTTTCATCCCTGCGTAACGACATTATTTCAAGTCGCCAGCTACCTAAAGGATATTTCTGATTTTCCCTCCAATGGATCTTTTTCTGGCTATATAAGGACTTGATTACTTGAAGAAATAAAAGAAGCTTTACAACAATATATAAAACAGTTACACTTTGATTGAAAGCAATCTACGAAGAACTGAAGCTACAGTATTGAAGCACCACAATACAAAGAAAAAATATGTTCATATTGTATTAATGTCTTTAAGACATTTAAGCTATTAATAGTGTTTATATCTGCTTGTTTAGAAGCAATTTCATTGTGAACATCTTTGTTTAAACTGTTGTTTGTAACTCCTTAAGGGACCATTTAGGTCTGAATCCTTAAGAAGAGACGGTTAGTCTTTGTTGTTAGTCACCAGCGGTTGCTTGTGAAGATTGTAATTCCTTAAGGGACCAGTTGGGTCAAAATCCTTAAGAAGAGACGGTTGTCTATATTGTTAGTCACCAGCAGTTTTAGTGCAGTGTAATCTGTTGATTATAGTGGATTAAGTCCTTGTGTATAAGGCGAAATCACCTTAGCGGGTGGACTGGATTAACTTGATAGTTTTCAAGTGAACCAGGATATATCGTGTGTCTTTCTTTCTTGATTAGTCTATTTGTGATCTTTGTTTGAGTTTCACAAAAAGCTTTTATTTTTTAAAACTCAATTCAAACCCCACTTTTCTTGTGTTTTCTCACACCTTCATTTGGCATCAGAGCTCCGGTTCTAATTGTGATAAAAAGTTTTATCAACACTTCATCGTGTTCAGTACCGATCTAGTATTTGTGTGGGATACTAATGTTAATCCTATTCAAGATGAGAAAGATCATTACAGTGCCAAACCACCAGTCTTTGATGGTGAAAAGTTTGACTACTGGAAAGGTAGAATTGAAAGTTTCTTTCTTGGTTATGACGTAGATTTTTGGGATCTCGTAGCTGATAGCTATACTTGTAACACCCCACTTCCCAACTAAAATAAAATGCGAATAAATCAATTTAAAATATCAGAGTTTCTCTTCCAAAAGTGGGATATTACTTTTCACGAAATTTTTCACAAAACATTTCATTAAAAGATTTTCAAAATAAGTAGCGGAAAAGAAATTTGTCACAACATATATACATATATGTACATCATCTCATACATCATGTTCGACCATCTGCCCAAAATATACAAAACATCATCAATGAATCCATCATCAAAACATGATACGACACAAAGTATAAACAAAATCATCAAACAGATAAATAACTCCCAAAGGCCCCGTGTTACATATCAGAGCATCCTAGACTCGATCAGCACACTGCTATCCAAGTAGCTAAACACCTGGATTATCTGTACTTCTGAAGAAGTACAGACCACAACAACAGCAAAGGGATGAGAAAACATGATCGAAATATAACGGTAAATATTTACATGAAATAAAGGCAGTAAATAAATACATCATCACCCCACAAATCATCATACACGACCTACTGTCCAATCATCGATCACAGCATACAATAATGCATAAATGCAACTCAACACATGCATGCGGTACCGACTTAAA